TGAAACCTTGAAAGCTCGCGAGATCAGGATGGTCTCACGAGGCTAAGGAGAGGCTAGGGACAGGGAGTCGAGGAGATATAGAACAGTGCCCCCTCCCCCAGTGCAGAGAGCCCACCGCTCAGCAGGACACAATCTTACTAGGGGGCGCCATGCCCTGATGACCCCCCAGCCCGGGTACAACTTCCAACCCAAACCCCAGCATAAATAAGGCACCGCCACAGCCAGAACAGGAAACAACCAGAGCGAGGGCAACACCCACGCCAAGGTGGATGGCACACCCCAGCCGACCTAAGACTTCTGCCCAGTCCGACTCCCAGCAGCCACACACATCCTGGAGTACTTTTCTTACTAATTAATGACTCTTACAGAACAGAAGGCTACTTTGTAACTGAAATTACTGTTTGATTTATAGGATGAAGAGTGGGACTCTGTGGATTGTTATCATGTACTTTATGTTGCGTCAAACTGTGAAAACAAGTGATGAAGAAGAAGAAAATCCTGCAGGGTCTCTGGGTTGCTGTGAGAAACTGGACTATTTAAATTGTGAAAGCAGGAGTCCTCATCCAGGTATGTTTTAACCCTAACTGGTACTACAAGGCATATATTGTTCTGTTTCTCATTTCACATGAGAATCACGCATTGATTAAATCGACAGAAACGAACAACGCTGATCATGCAAAATGTTGCATGGAAACACTCAGCAACATTTTGCAAAATGTTCCGGAAGAAGACGCTGTTAGGTAAATGTTCTAATTTATAATAGATCAATAACCTGTGTCATAATGAAAGGATGCTGATCCACTTCATCTCATTCTCTTTTGTTTCTTCACAAGAACACTCGAAATCCTACAAGAAACTTTGGATGAAACGGAGGTGACAGAAACTACAACCATCATCACGGACAACAGTGTGGCTTTACTTTACAAACCCACCGATGACTTCAGAGGTCTTGAAATCTTTGCCACTGACAATGAGGTAGCATAATGTTTTATAGCGCTTGAGTGGCTTAATTGACCATGAAGTGTATCTTAATTAATTTGGAAAAACTACCAAACTTTAGAGATATGACACAAATGCACGTCTTTTCCAAAAATTAAAGGTATACTATGCAACCGGTGTTGATTTTCCAGCGAGGCTCCCCCCAGAGGGCGAAAGTAAAAGTGCACTGT